GGGGGGGGGGGGTATCTTATGTAAGGTTGTCCGAAGCTCAGCAATTTTGCTGGTCTGAAGCACGGTACAATTTAGCGTTATTCCTTTGAAGTGAATTGAGTTTGACACTACTAAAGGTGAAGTGAGGGTCAGGAGGGTAAACAGAGACAGGTGTAAAGAGAGCGGTGTTCTCTCTGCCAGACAGAATCAAAATAAAACACATTGCACACATTGGTTCTTCTCCTGGTTTCTTAGACTGTGTTGCTGCTGTCCTTACTCCCTTAAGGATAGAAATACTTTTACCTTATGTAATTGTATTTTGGTGCTTAAGTCAATACTGAACACATAACTGACCAAAATCTGCTAGAGAATTTGCCTGCTTTAACTCCAGGCAAGTAATGTGCTGCAGTGCAAAAACCAAACTGCAACGTCTGACTACATGCCCAAAGTAATGTTTCAACTTTGTCATTATTTATTAATAGAATTACATTTAAAAGCCTCGAGTCACATGGTGGAAAATAAACAACCTTTAGGGAACTGACAGAAACCAAAAGCGTGTCTCCTGCAACCAAAGCACAAAGTACTTTAACGCAGATTCAAATGGCAGAATCATTTTATCCTTTCATAACGCAACTCTGCTCCTGTGGCAGCCGCGGATCTTTCTTCAGCTGCCACTTACTGTAAGGCTTAATTTGCAAGAAACAAATAACATGCACTGTCTAACATGTTCACACGTTAGCATGATGAGATACTTTACCTGGCATCTGCCTCGCTGTAATACTCTCTGGCAACAATGTCCTCAAACAGCTCTCCTCCAGTGACCCTGCACACAGACAAATACAAATACATTTGATTTCTCTCTTTCGCCCACATAGAGAGACGCATTAAATGGTAAATGGTAAATGGACTGTACTTATATAGCGCTTTATCCAGTCTTTAAGACCCCTCAAAGCGCTTTACATACTACATGTCATTCACCCATTCAAACCCATTCATACAGAGCAGTGTACCTTACTCTAGGACCTAACATTCACACACATTCACACACCGTTGGCCATAAGTATCTTGCCCAAGGATACATCGACATGTTGGCTGTACGGGCTGGGATCGAACCCACAACCTTCTGGTTGAAAGACGACCACACTCCCTCACAGCCACAGTCGCCCTATTAAGAGAATACTGTCTTTCTTCCCGTTTTGTCTTTGTCTACACTTTTGCTATAGGTTATTTTCCTTTTGTAAGTGATGACACGTTCTCATACGTTCGTTATGTTCAGTGTTCATGGGAAACATGTTCTCTCTCTGCTGCTCTAAGAGGCTACTTGACTGGTTGCTGATAACACAAGCCTCCACATGACTTGCATGCTTGTTTATGTCTACCTCAGATACAATACTGATGGACTGCTACTGTACACCAACATAAACTACAGTTGAACTCAAACATTTTAGCAATAACATTAGCTTTTTAAACTTTATTCCTTATTTCTGTATTCTACCCTACTGTCTGCACACGATATTATAAATTATAAATGTGCAGTTAGGTGGATGCAACTGTAAGAAACATTTCATTTTAGTAAAACTTGAATTTAACACACTTGTTTCCATGGGAAAGATCTAACATTTTCATCAGATGATAAAGTAAATGTTACACGAGTGGCAGTTAAAGAGAGGGATAACAATAGAGCATATTGATTTTTTTTTTTTATAAACAGTATTTCTCTTATATTGTTTCCTTGAGTTATTTATATTATAAAAGGAAGCTTGTCCCTCACAATTCATCCCTTTACATTAATTTGTGAATACATGAAAAACATTTGAGCTACTTCACAACAGTAGCTAAAATGTTTTTCATGTATTTACAAATGAATGTAATCACTTTTAAAATAGGAGATAGGAGTAAGAGTATACTAAACATTTCCATCATGGCAGCACAGTGGAAAAGCTGATACACTGTACTGCTGTAGAGGCTGACATGTGTGAGCTCGTTGCTCGGGTGAAGCAATTCATCCTGGAGCAATACTCTGGCTTTAACCCCCTGTCTCTCTGTGTGTGTGAGAGTGTGTGTGAGAGTGTGTGTGAGTGTGAGTGTGTGTGGTGTGTGTGTGTGTGTGTGTGTGTGTGTGTTGTGTGTGTGTGTGTGTGTGTGGGGGGGATGTGGTGTGTGTGTGTGTGTTGTGTGTGTGTGTGTGTGTGTTGTGTGTGTGTGTGTGGTGTGTGTGTGTGTGTGTGTGTGTGTGTGTGTGTGTGGTGTGTGGTGTGTGTGTGGTGTGTGTGTTGTGTGTGGT